TTTACCAAACATCCTCTCTATACCATCATCTTCCTCGTCTCTTACCCACTCCTTTAAATCTCCATCTCCAGGCACCACATCCCAGCATTAATCCTCCACTATAACCCAGTCATATGAAAAAAAATCTGACTTTACATAACAAACTTCAAACACGTTAGCTTTCTATTGATTGGGATGCCGCTAATGTGGTATCCTGTTGCACCGAAGGAAGAATTTTTCAAAAATTTGCGGAAAAGTGTACTTATTTATGAACAAAAAGTTCTCCAAGCTAGTATCATTTCATTAGACATCCATTCATCAGCATAATATGGTAAAAGAAGCGCAACTCAAGAAAGACTAGGAATAGCTTTCACCTGCCAAAGAACAAATCTACTACCATCAAAATGGGGGCATTAATACATAACCCCCTCTTCCCAGCAGTAGAAAAGATGATTAGCTAAAGAATCAAGCAACGTATCGACACTTAAAGCTCTACCTGTTACCTTACCAACAGAATGAATGCATGCCCATGTGTATTCCTATCCAAGCTAGTGTTAAGTAAACGTTAATCTCCCTCATAAAGACGAGAAGGAAGATACAATGCATCCAGTATTCTAAACTCTCCGCCTCAATAAAGAGGATGTTGCCTCTTGAGAACAGGAGATGTATTTTTTTGTTTTTTAAAGTCCATCAACTGTCACTTTTTCCTATTTTAATCAAATGACCAAAGAGACGACTGTACATCTGGGGTGGGAAATAAACCTCCACCATGAGGCCTAGTAACAAAAGTCTTTCCAATACTGTCTGAACCTGGCACTGCCCCCCATTCCTTTCTGCAAAACATGACAGAACTAAGAATCAGATAACCATTAAAGAAACAAACTTAATTAACAAATATCAAACCACAAATAAAAATGAATATGGGGTAAAATTGAAGACAGTGAAATTCATTCTGGATTAATTTTGAACAAGGGAAATATCCCCTGGTGCCTACAAATATATGGAGTTACGAGGAACCAGATAGAAAGGAGAACACCACTAGTATCTTTAAGAACATAACCTTCCAAGTTTCAATAGAAGTCTCCTTTTCTAGGTAAAGCAATATTTAAGCACTCACAATAATTCCACCGGAAATTTGCCTTGGAGAATAATGATTAGGGCAAACCATGAAAGTATAATTATAAATAACATCCAACATATGATTACCATAGTCACTTGGATTATTGACTATAACTAAAGGCAACTTCCAGTTTTAAAAACTTAAGTCTTCCTACCACACTAAACACATCATGTAGATACCATTTAACAGGTTAACAAATATGTGAGTGCATGCCTTTTGGGCACTTTGTTCCCTTCCATGTTCTAGTTCTATACAACAGTTTCCCATCATCTGATGAAATAAAACATCAAATACTACTATTTTTTTCAAAAATTATTCTTTATATTAAAACCATAAAACACAACATTTTTTTATGTTATTCATTCCACTTCTTTGAGCAATTTGTTCATCTAACATGGCAACTCAAGTGTAACCCACTTGAAAAGAATGAATTTGACATTTTCATATAAATATAAACAAACCTTGCTCCAAATACTAACTTTCTTCAGATATATTTTTGTTTTTCTCCATCAGCCACAATAAAGTCAGCATGATAAAACCATTAAGAAGTTCATTATAGAACACAATCTGAGTGCTAGACCGCTAGTCTCCTGTTCCTCAACTTTGCCTCACTCATGAGAATTCACCCAAAAATGCTTAATATTTCTTCCTAAAATTTGGATTTTGGCACCCATCTCAAATCAAATTAAAGACAAGGTGGAGAGTCTTAACAAATATACATCTTACATACTTAGAACATATCACCCATACTAACAATAACCTGTAACATCATTTGAAAGAAAAAAAAAAAAAGTGACGTGAACAAGAATGTCACATTCTTTGAATAATACAGTAATTCAAAAGTTTCTCACAGCATGAGTCAAAAATGTCTAATGCATTTTAATAACATTATTGGTTATAAATGTCTAATGCATGGCATTGTCATCCACCCCTCCCTGGTTCTCTTATTCTTCATTTTTCACTTTTATATTTTGGGCAGCAGTTGTACCATGAGAAATGGAATGATCAGGTTATTCCTTTCTAGTAATACAACTTTTGCTCCTTGATAATTACATTATGAACAAGAAAGTTGATCAATTCTGGTCATACAAGCAATTTAACCTCTAATTTTTTTTCTTATTAAGCAGTTGTACCATGAGAAATAGTCATGAATTCTCAGTTTTAAGTCTTCAAAAAGATGACTATAGATGAAAGCATTAAAACAAAAGCAATTTTGGCAACAGAAAGGATGACCTCTTGGAATGCTGTACATGAAGTAAATCAGAAGGCATCAAGGCTCAAACTCAGAAGTGTTGCTACAATATCTGTGATGTAAAACAACTTCTCGGATTTAAGTTGGTTGGTTCAACTGCAGGTACGTTTTCTAATCTATGTTGCTCACCATATCAAAAGTGGATATCCTTATTTTAATCAATAACCAAATTACTCAACAATTAATGTGTATATAAAAGATGTATTGCTTTGCCATGAATAACTAAAATTTCAAATAGCGTCTTAATATGAGTCATAGGAGTAATGAACTCACTTGGACCAAGAATTTGCTGGAGGCAGCTCAATGGAATGACTGGCAGAAGATCCACCCGAACTCCCATATATCACTTCACTCTTCTCTTCTTGGGGCTTGAGAGATAATTGATTATCACTGCCAGACAAGGGAGGAAAGAAAGGATTCTTCAACCAGGGATCCTGATCAGTTGCACCAGATACAGGGCTGAATTTTCCACCACTCTGGCCATTACCAAGAAAAACCTTCTGAGGAGAATGAGTAAGAACAGGATCCTCTTTCCTGAACAATGATGCTGTAGTCTTTTGATTAGAAAGATGTATAAATTCCTCTTTGTTTGATCTATTATGCTCTGGGGGTAAAATCCAGCTTGCCGGACCACCAATCAAACCAAGATCCTGATAAAGGGGAGTGCTGTTCCACATCTGCCATGTGCCCTTCTCAATTATACTAGCTTCATCTACAGGAAAAGTGTGAACATCTTGGGCTTTAGAGGTATTTAGGAATCTATTAGAACTATTCTGCTTCTCATCAGTAACACGTAATCTTGATAATGGAGCCTCAATGGGAGAGGGCTTGCTAACTTCTGAGGAAGAAGATATATTCTTCAAAGTGCGATGCTTCTCCAGTCCTGTGTCTACAAAACCAGGACCCACATCCAACTGAAAATTATCAAGAGATTCTGAAACAGGACCAAGCAAGGATACTGGATCAGGAACATAGGATGGATCTTCAAAAACATCATGCTCTTCAGGTATTAATTCCTGAGTCCCTTCAACAACTAGAGGGAATATTGGTTCAATTGCAGTTGAGAAACCTAAACTACTGCTGGGAGCTCCATTTGGAAAGGTAGACAAAAATGGTGATGGCAGCCCAAAGTTAATTGGATTATCAAATGTTTGGATTGATGATGATTGAGCAGCCAACTGGGGGCTCTGAACCTCTGCTTGCAACTTAGAATTTGGTCTACTAATAACACTAGTATTAGAGGATGAAGGAACAGAAGATGATCGAGTAAACAACTGTTGCCATGATTTTTTAGGTGTTGTCTTCGGTTGAGTTTCTAAAATGACCTGCAGTGAAGAGAATAATATTGTAATGCACTAATGCTGTTATACTCTTCTAGATACACTGTATACACGACCATCGTCTTCAAGGAACAATCAAATTTTACTACAGCATTTTAAGATTCCGATAATTGATTTCAATAATACAAATCAAAGGTGAGAATGCAATAAAAATTTTGATTGACTTACACGATCAAAGAAGATTTCACTATGGCACTAGAGCTGGCATAAAAAATTGAAGAGATTATGAAGAAGAAAAGCAAACAATTATGTTCAGCAGCTGCTCTGCTCCGAATAGATTATATGTCAGTGAGTAGAATAATGAGCAGATGCATGATTAAGGATAAGTTCAGACTGAAATGATATACATAGAATTATATTAAGACAATGGAGTATTCTATAGGTTGATAAGACAATATGTACACCTGAAAAACACAGCAAGATAATTTACAGGGCAGTTAGGGTGCTTATCATTTCCATTCATAGTTAAAGGGTAAATTCAGACTGAAATGCTATCCATAGAATTACACTAAGATAATGGAGTATTCTATCAGTTAATAAGAAAATATGTACACCTGAAAAACACAGCAAGGCAACTTACAGGGCGGTTAGGGTGCTTATCATCTCCATTCATAGTTAACTTGCCAGCTACACGCTCAGGTGGATAAAAATCTCTTCTAGTAGCAGAAGTTTGGACATTATCTACAGAACCATTTATCTTACTTTCCTTTGCAATAGTAACAGGAGTATTAGTAGTACCTCTTCCAAAGAAACTATCTCCACTAAAAGCCTTAGATGATGACAAAAATGTGCCCCTCACATGGTCCAAGTATCTAGCCCCAGCATTCCCTCGATTAAAATTAGTTGCAGAAGCATTCTTCATTCCAAGTCCATGTCCTGCTTCCGTGGTATGGCTCTTGACATTGTCTGTTCCAGATTTCTGAAGTTCTCGGCGATCAATATCACTCTTCTTATCAGAGTCACGCTTCCGTTCAGCTTCCTTTCCTGTTTTCTTTTCCAGCTCTTCTGCATCAGAGTTGCTCTTAGTAGATGCCTTGTCTTTTTCTTTCCTTCTCTCCTGGCGTTTCTTCTCTGCTTCCTTCTTACTCTCTTTCTCCCGGGTAGGAGGTGATGATTTGCTGCGATCCTTTTCAGCCTCCATTTTCTCATCCCTTAGCCTCCTGCGTTCTTCAACCAACCTTGCAACCTCCTCCCTCTGCTTTCTTTCTTCTTCCTCCAGAAGCTCCCTTTCTAACCTAGCTTGTCTCTTCTCTTCAGCTTTTCTACGTGCCTTCTCTCCCCTGCTCTCATGAAAGTTAGTCCCATCCTCGCCCCTCTTTACCAACATTCCTCTGTGTTCTGCATCTGATGAACCATCTTCCCTTGAAGAACTAATCCTAAAAATCTTTCTCCAAAGCCACCTAATGCCCAAGAAAAAAGATGTCAGCAGCTTGCAGGCAAAAACAACAACACTTGAATAAGATTTCTCCGCCAAACAATTTTCATCCCCTCCAAAAATACCACTCCCGTTCTTCCGCCAGTAGCTAGACGTCCCCGTAACAGACCCACCAACCCAATTTCCATTTTCTAACCAATCTTGTCCACACATCCACCCATTCTCAGACAACCCCTTTCCATTCAGCATGTTCCCAGCTTTTCCAACAAGATCCTTAGTAATCCCAGAATTTGAAATGCTCATGCCTGGTGGTGCAGTTAAGTCCAGAACAGGCCTCTTTGATATATGCCCACAATAAGAACACATAAACTTACCACCACCTGGGTTCTGATCTCTATATGGAGTCAAGCAGTTACGACACCTCCGTGTTGCAGTCTTACGAAGCTTCTCCAGTTCTAAGGCCTCAAACCTCTTCTTCTCCCTAAGCCGTGCATTTCTTCTCATTCGCCAGGCTGATAACTGGGGCATCAAAACCTCATACCAAAACAAAGTAACCAACAGCACAAAAACGCAAGCCAGCCTTGGGGACGTGATTTCAAATCGAAATGCAGGTGGCAAAAGCTGAGAGAGAGCCCATAAACCTATTAGTGGTATAACTAACCAAGGCAGCATTGTAGCAACCCGGCGAGACCACTTTTGAATAGTACAGAGTATACACATTATCCTCTAGCCCACACCTATCTTCCCCGTTTCTTAATTTCAGAGAAACAAACCCTAGAATCCAACAAAATCCCGAATTCCTTCCGCAAGCAATGCTCCCAATCGAAAACCCTAAACTAACTTACCTTCCCAAATCAAAAACACCAACGCACCAATTCCTCCAAGCTTCTAGAACCCTAACAGCACAAAGAAAATCAACAACCATTCAATTCAGAAAACAAAAACCTAATGCAGCACTAATATTCAAATTCCCAATTAATCAAAGCAATAAATACGCAACTAAGCTCAAGAAATTCATCAATTTAGGGTTTCTCCCCAATCCCAAAAAAAAAAAGTCGGTGCGGTAGAAAGCTCCGATTCTGGAACTGCTCTATTGCCAAGAAAATGCAGGAGGGATTGAAAGACTTACAGATTCAGAGTCCATCGGCGACGGTGATACAGGGTCGGGTACCAAATCGGGTCGCGACGGTGGTTGTGACTTGTGGCTCCGTCCGTTCTTACCAGCGAAGAAACTGTGAGAAAATAATATTTGAGAGAAATGGGTAAAAGATAAGAGAGATGGAGAAGAAAAATGAGGGAATGTAAGGAAAATTAATTATACAAGCAATCCTTGGACCGAGTCTGGTCTAGACCGGTTCGTTAATCCTACCCGGAAACATTAGGTCTGGTCATCGTCTTTATTCTTCACCCAAAAAAGGGGTAATTAAGAATTGGGGAATAATTACAAGAGAAATTTTTTTTGTGAAGAAAGTGTTCTATAATTTGGATTATTATAGAAAGTAAAATATTGACTTTAAAATGAGGCAAAGGATTTTTAATATTAGGAATTATATATTTATTTCAAAAATTTTGATTTTATAGTTTGAATTATAAAGTAGTATATTTAGTTTTTTATATAATTTTTTATATTTTTATATATCATGTAATAATCAATTTTTTTTATAGACAATTGACTTTATTAAAAATTGTAGTAATGTGTGTAATAATTCATTTAATAATATGTGAAAATTATAAATAAAATCATAAAAAATTATTTCTATATCATTACTCTTAAAATTTTAAAATAATGTAATTAATGTCAAGTAACATTGTGAGATTATAATTTATTTAGGGATTTATTTATAATATTATATATACTTCTTTATTTAATGCTTCATGATAAATAGAAGTGGTCTAAATTAATTCTCTTACATTTGATTTTAAAAAGATATTAAATGTTAATATTTTAAATTTTAAAAATATTATAATTACAATATCATATAATATTATAATTTTATAATATAATTTGTCATTATATTTATTCATAATCTTATATATAATTATTTAATATTATGTTATATTTATTTAATATTAGTTTATAATTATAATCTTATAATTTTATATAATATTGTAATTAAAATATTATTGATCAATTTTATTCTTCTTGAGATGAAATAAAAATGAATAAGGTGTTTTTTGGTTTAATTGTGTAAAAGTAAAGATGGAAAGATAAACTCAAATTCTTGTACTAATAAATGAGTTTCTTTAGGGTAATATGCTAGTAAATAAATGAAGTGGGATAATTATATAAGAGAAAAATAGTTTTTTAATTGTATATAAAAATAATAAAATAGCTAGAGAATGGTGAACATACATATTTCAGTTTCTTTAGGAAGCTGGAGGTAGTCCTTTATAAATTTTTAAATTGTGGTTTGTATGACTCCTCTTTAACGGAATTTTATCCTACATGGTAATAGAATCAAAGAGATAAATTTAATATAATGAGTTAAAACTGACATAAATCACCTAATCACCTAATTGCTGTAAAAATTTACAAAAAATAAAATTAAAAATGGTCTCTTTAGGTTATTTAACAAAATTCCTAAGTGTATGATCTTCATTATAGAATATTGGGAAAAATATTTAATAATATATGTAAAATAAAGGAGTTGTTTAAATTGTTCTCTTAATTTTTTTTGAAAGTAGTTGTTTAAAAATTCATCTTTTAATATTTTCAAAAATTAAAAGAGTTAGACTAAAAATTTTATTCATATAAATCATGTATATTAAATTTTAAATTATTTTAGTAAACCACTTAGTTAATTACAAGAAATTTATAGTTAAATATATATCAATAAATAAAGTGTTTTTGTTCAAAGAATTATAAATATTAAATTGATATAAAAATTGACATTCATGTTTTACATAAATAAAACTTTTAATCTAATAGTTAATTTTTATAAATATTAATTAGAAGATAAGTTTTTAAACAAATCTTTCAAAAAATTTTAAGAAAACAACCTGCCCTATTCTATTCCTTATAATTTTTTTTTTTTTGGCTCAATAGCTGGTCATTATAAATTTTTTTAAGAAGAAAATGGGTATGCCCTTATATTATCTGAAAGGTAAAGTGATTATCTTTCAAGATTGTCTATAATTCTCATGTGCTATTACAAATAGTATAATATAGTCCAAAAATTAGAAATAACTATACAAAGATAATTGAGAGAAAATGTGTAAAAGCCTAAGTATCATATTGCCTTTACA